AAAATGGAGGCAAAGAAGTTCAAAAAATCAATCGGCCAAGGCATAAAAGGCGCGGGAGGAAAGGCCAATAAAACACCCATGGTAACAAAGCGTTAATACCGCCGCCTGCAGGAGAGTCCAGCGAGGTCTTTACCAACACGCCTGGCGCCCTTTCAGCGCCTTCGGCTCTCATTCACTGCCGGAGCCCCGAGACCTTCGGCCAATACACCCCTACCCCCTTGGCTCGGCGCTCTGATCTCCCAGGACAGCCGTTAGGGGCGTCCGCTCCCTTCGCTCCGCACTGAAAAATCACTCTTACGGGACTCGCCGCTCCCGACCCCGCGCAGCTCAACCTACACATGACCAGTTCGGAAATGAGCTTTTAAGGTCGTCGATCCCGGTCTGGGAGGTCGGGAAAAGCAACCTTGGCGACAACACACCCCAACTCCCTCTCTCCCGGCCCCCGGGCCCGTACCCCTTCCACTACCCCTTCTCTCCCCCGTCCCTTCCCCGCCCGCCCTCCATCCTCATAAGTCTTGGCACACAACTCGGCTTCAGTTTCAAGATCGGTCGACACTCCTGTTTGTCTTGGAGGTAAATTGAGCCTTATGCCACCCGATACCCGAGGGGCCCCCACACTTTTGGCGCACACCTGAGGCTTGGCGCCACGGATGCGGGCACCGATGCCAAAGGGACGTCCGGCGCCCGGCGGGCCTGCGGACCGCCTTCGCCGGGGCGCGAGGCAAGGGCGGCGCGGTTCGTCTCCGGGTGAATCCTCCGACAAGATTCAAGACATTGATGACTGTTATTGACGAGGGAAGGAAAATGGGAACGCGAATAACAACCACAACAAAAACAACGAATATAATGAAAATAACGATAATAACATATTAAACACAATAACCAATTACTTTCGCAAATTGCTCTGCTCGGTCTGATTTGCGACATGATGACAAATCTATTTATCGTTAAAGGAATAATAGATTTATACCCACCACTGTGGTAATCAATTACTTTTTCTGCAAACTCGTAAAATACGAAGTAGATTTTGCGTTGACCAACCAACTAGCAAAAATATATAAATCAAAACGGACAAGGAAGCAACGAGAGGTGGGAAATGGACAACAAAAATAACGAAGGCGAGAGCAATAAAAACAACACAAAATCAACGAATCGAAGTGGCGAGAAAGCACCCACGTGATAGCCCGCGTACATCAGCCAATGGCTAAAAACACTTGATCTAGACTTCAGGCAGAAAAAAAGACATTAGTAAAAGATTTGTGTGGAGGGAGGGGAGTGGGGGCTAAGACTCTCCCGGAGTGGAGGGAGGGGGGGAGGAGAGGGGGAAGCTTCAAAATAATCTCCAGTCTGGACACACACAGAGGGGGGGAAGGTGAGGGGGAGGGGAAGAGCAGGATTGGGGGATTGGCACGGGGGCGCTACTGCCCCGCACAATAACAAAACAAAACAGATCTATTGTGTCACTTTATTTTCTATTTTTAAAAAAGTTATAATAATTCTTCTATTCAAACTGAACTGTATTTACTTCACTATTCTTGCGAGTTTAAGTTACGACCTGTGCTCATGAATGCCAGAATACATACATACAACAGTTAAAGTACAAGTAAACATTATACACTTAAAAACACCTTCATGCATACAATAAGAAACAGAAGACAAAATAAACGAAACTTCAACTGAGGTTTTGTGTCTTATGTTTGTCTTATGGCTGTGTACACTGCATCTTCAATCTGATTGTGTTTTGAAAGTATATATGTATACAGTATATACAAACACTTAAAGAATAAACTGTGTACATATGAATACGCATGTACGTACATACTTATCGATGCTCACATAAGCACAGACAGACATATGTATCTACCAAATGATAAACAATTCGCAAATACAAAACAAATACACTACGTGGGCACCGACCCAAGGACACCCCTCCCCCTCCCCTCCCCCTCCCCCCTCCCCACACGCATCCAGCGAACCACACCTGAAGACGGGCGGCCAAGTAGCTTCCCTACACAAAAGGTGTGTGTGTGTGTGCGTGCATGCGTGCGTTCGTGCGTGTGAGTGAGTGAGGGAGTACGATAAAGTGAGTACGAAATTGAGAAAGTGAGTGTGTGAAACTGTATATTAACGAAGTAGGGAAGGTGGAAGGGGAAAAATGAGAATAAAAGAAAATGGGGAAAAGTGGATAGGTGGGCGAGGAGGTGAGCGGGTACGTGAGAGAGAGGACGGATGGAAGGGCTGAAAGAGGGGAAGGATGGGAGAAAGGAAGGGGCGGGGAAAGTGGGAAATGAGGGGAGCACAGGAGCAAGAGGAGAGGAAGTGAGTGAACGGGGGGGGGGATGTCTGCTACTTGCGCCAAGGTCATTCCGAACATTTGTAAGATGAGAGAGAAGGGGAATAGCGAACGGGGAAAAGAAGAAAAACGAAAAAAAAGGGAAGAAGCATACCCCTCCCCCAAAAAAACAGTAAGGCACAAAAGAGCAAGAGTGAAGTGCAAAAAAGCGAAAAGGAAAAATAAGAGAAAACCGATATGAGAAAGAGGAAAAGTACCCGAATGCCTGAATATGTCCTTGAGAAGCCGCTGATAAGGGAAGACAATCAAGCATCACCTGATCACCCGAAGGCACGACCTCCACGCCCACCCCCTCCCCTTAGGGCGGCAGAAGGCACAAGCAAGCACCGGGCACTCGCCTATGAAAACCCGGGAGCCTCGTCCATACAACCAAAGCAAAGGGCCGAGGCAAGGGCGAAGGGGTGGCACAAGCAAGGGCCTGAGCGCTGGGCTACCATGAATCACGGGCCTCGGGTCAGCTAAGGGTGACGGCGGGTGCCAGCGCAGTGCCCGGCGTGAGTCACAAGTCCTAACTCAGGCGGGTGACAGAGCCTGCCAGCGCCTTGCCAAGTGTGAGTCACGAAGCTCAACAGAAGCACGACGTCGCGGCTGGCACGGGCCATGGGGAGGGGAGGGGAGGGGGAGGGGGGGACTCCTTCTCTCGTGCCCATGGAGGAGGGAGGGAGGAAGACAGAGATGGAAGAAGAATATTGATAAGCAGAAGGAGGAAAAAGGAAAAGCTGGAGAAAGAGAAAGCGAGAGAGAGAGAGAGAAGAGAAGAGAGAGAGAGAGAGAGAGAGAGAGAGAGAGAGAGAGAGAGAGAGAGAGAGAGAGAGAGAGAGAGAGAGAGAGAGAGAGAAAAGGGAAGGTAGGAGGAAGGAAGGTGGGCAGAAGAGGAAATGGCATAGAGGTTGAAAAAGTGAGTGCGAGAAAGAGAGAGAAGAAAAGAAAAGTAGGTAAGCAGCAAGAAAGACATAAACAAACAGGAAATACAAATAAAAATAGAAACATACAACAGAAACCCACGAAAAAAGAAACTATAGCAGCGAACTTACGGGCAAGCAAGGTGGGTGCGCCTGCGAAGGAGACCAGGACAACCGGTCAGAAAAAAAAAGGTCAGAAAAAGGTCAGAGGGAAGGAGGAAGAGGGAAGAAAGTAGTAAAGTACCGCCGGAGAAGAAAACCAGAACTGAGCCAGCCTACCGCCGCCTCTCCCACTTCCTCCCTCGGTCCACGTTCAACCTTCCCATAAATAAATAAAGTCCATAGACGACTCTCCCTGCAGACCAGGCCACGCAGGAATAGCAGGGAGAGAGGGAAGAAGGAGAGAGGAGAGGGAGAGGGAGAGGGAGAGAGGAAGAGAGCGAGCGAAAGAGGGAGGTAACCAGGTAGGTAAGGAGGGAGGAAGGGAGGGAGGTAAACAGGTAAGGAAAGAAGGAGGAAGGGAGGGAGCGAAGGAGGGAGGATTGTAAACACGTAAGCAAGGAGGAGGATAAGGAGGGAATGATGGAAAGAGGGAGGGGAGGAAAGAGATAAACAGGTAAGTAAGGTGGAAGGTAAGGAAGGAGGGAAGACGGAGGTTAACAGGTAGGTAAGAAGGAAGGAGAGGAGGAGGGAGAGAGAGAAGAAGGAGGGGAGGAAGGGAAAGAGGGAGGTAAACAGGTAGGTAAGGAGGAAGGTAAGGGGGAGGAAAGGTAGGGGGCATGAAGGTGGTAGGTAGGGGATAGGTTGTTTAGTAAGTATGAGGATAGTTAGGTGGGTAGTTAGGTTGGTGCGGTGGTTAGGTAGGTAGGCAGGTATGTATGTATGTATGTATGTATGTATGTATGTATGTATGTATGTATGTATGTATGTATGTATGTATGTATGTATGTATGTAGGGAGGGAGGGAGGCAGGTATGTATGTATACATGTATGTATGTATGTATGTATGTATGTATGTATGTATGTATGTATGTATGTGTATGTAGGGAGGGAGGGAGGGAGGCAGGTATGTATGTATGTATGTATATAGGTAGATTAATAGACAGACAGATAGATACGCACGCACACAGGTAGCCAAGAAAGTTACACTGGCAAGACTAATATAAATCTAATAAATAAACGGACGTATACCCCGTGTGTGCGTGCGCGCATGCGTTCAGGGATGGCGGGAGAGGGGGGAAAGAGGCCCAAGAAGGATGTAAAAAAGAGAGGGCGCGGGCGTGCAGGCGGGCGGGAGGCCAAGCCTGTCTCAGGGTGGTCAGAGTCCCTCGAAATCAACAATACCATTTTGTGTTGTCCCGTGACCCTCCAAAAATATAATATATATATATATACCCATATAATAGACAGGAAGCGTAAAGTGATCACATATCTAATCGGAATATATGAAATTTGCTTAACTACTATAATGTGTGTGTGTGTGTGTGTGTGTGTGTGTGTGTGTGTGTGTGTGTGTGTGTGTGTGTGTGTGTGTGTGTGTGTGTGTGTGTGTGTGTGTGTGTGTGTGTGTCTGTGTGTGTGTGTGTGTGTGTGTGTGTGTGTGTCGTGTGCGTGTGCGTGTGTCGTGTGCGTGTGCGTGTGCGTGTGCGTGTGCGTGTCGCGTGAGTGTATGTAAGCGTGCGTGTGTGAGTGCATGTGTGCGTGTGCAGGTGTTTTAATCGTCAACGCAAACAAGGGGTACTCACGGAGCCTGGGGTCAAACCAGGACGTGGACTTGTCGTCGTGGTTGATGAAGTAGACCTCTCCCTCGGGGGTGACGGCCTGCTCCCAGCTCTCGGGCAGCGGCCCTAGGTTCCCGTTGACCAGCGTCCCCACGTTCGGTGGCGGGGCCCCCTGAGGGGCGGCGGCCACGGGCTGAGGGGGCTGGGGAGGAGCGCCCCCGGCTGCCTGCGACACGGCCACATGGGCGGGCTGGGAGACAGGGGCGTGCTGCTGGGCCTGCTGCTGTTGCCGCTGCCTCTGCTTCATCAGGGTTTTGCGCGGGTCCTCCCATGTCGTGGACTGTGTGATGTGGCTGTGGGGAGAGAGACACGCGGGTCAGACGTGCGATTTCGCAATTAAGATTCATATTCATCGTCACAAGATGGCAGCCAACAATGTAAACCCAACCGTCACATCGACATTCCCATCAATGCAACAATCCACTCCTTAAAATACTACACTGTAACAATAGATATATCCAAGCCTCCCCCTCGCGACTTTAACATGCAAGAAGCCCTCAAGCACACTGCTAACAGCTGTTGAACAAAGGGCACAAAATCAGTCAAGTATATCAACTGCTGGGACTTTCACCTCGTCACTGGTCTGACTCGGCTTCAGGTCGCGACTCATAACAGTACAAGCACCTCAGGTCATCCCCTCCTTCTCCCTCTCCCCTCCTCTCCCCTCCCCCTCCCCCTCCTCTCCCTCTCCCTCTCTCCATCCCCTTCTTCTCCTTCTCCTTCTCCCCCCGCCCGCAGGTGAGCTCACGAGATTTCCCTTGTGGTATATTTAATGACCTTGTCTACAAAAGCCGTGACCTGACCCAAACGGTGACCTTTCGATCCCTCCCTTCCTCCTTCCTTCGCTCGGAACCTTGAAGCAGGTGAGCAGAGAGAAGGAGGGGGAGGGGAAGGGGGAGGCACTTAAACTATTGTAATATGAAAAATATAAAGAAAGTCATCTTATATTGCATAACAAGGTGTGTTCGTGCATGACTGCTAGTGTCTTTACTTGCACATGCTTCTTACATACTGTACTGCATTTTATATATGCATTTATATGTATATGTACCGTGTACACACACACACACACCACACACACACACACACACACACACACACACACACACACACACACACACACACACACACACACCACACACACACACACGCACGCACGCACGCACGCACATGTATATATACATTTATAGCCAAATACTCAGCAGGCTAGGATATGTGATCAAATCGTACAAAATGTGAACATTAATCAAATTATGCATTTCCTCCTAGTAAATACAAAAGTCAATATCATACAAAAGGAACAGAAAGTGGGGAAAAAATGGCCTAAATCCACCAAAAGAGAAAAGGGGAACATCACCCCCGGCTCGCCGCACCTACTTGACCTGAATTGACCTGACCCCAACAAAATCCTAAGCAGTATGGCAACAATCCATGTCCGTCTCCCCCCCCCCCTCACACCCCCTTCCCCTCCCCCTGAGAGCTACCCCAACCCTCCTCTGCGCCGTGCCCCTCCTCGCGCCCCGATCCCACCTTGCCTCGCCTCACCTGCCTGGGAGCAGTCCCTCATTAAGCCAGGCTTGTCCGCGGCGTGCACTGTCACCCACAATCTCACCCTATATGACCTCACTTGACCTTCTCTTTGATCATCTCCAGTTCATGAGTCTCCATATACATATACATACCACATATATACATTTTGTAATAAAAGAGGATAGACAGGAGAAAGAGAGGAAGGATAGAGAGAGGGTGGAAGAGAGAAAGAGAGAAGGATAGAGAGAGGGTGGATAGAGAGAGAGAGAGGGAAAGAGAGGGATAGAGAGAGGGATGGATAGACGAGAGGAAGGATAGAGAGAAAGGGAGGATAGAGAGAGAGAGAGGAAGGGTAGAGAAATAAATAGATAGAGAGAGAGAAAGAAAAATAAAGAAAAAATAGAGGGAAAATGGGCAATGACAATAAAAAAGAGAATAGATACGATGAGAGCCGACCCGAGTAGAGAATCGAGAAAGAGCGAGAGGAGGAGAAGTGAGTGGAACACGAGTCGGAGCGAGCGAGCAAGCCAGCGAGCGGTAGCGCCTCCAAAATGGTCCCTTGAGTAGGGCACGGCCGACCCACCGCACTTTACGACAGTCTGGGTTTCTCTGGGATATCAAAGGACCCTCAGCTAACGAGGCAGTACCGCCCTCGCGTGGCCCTGCAGGGTACCTTTGGCTGATACGCAAGACCACCTGAAGGATTTCCCTCGGGCTGAAGTATGTCTTGGAGCGCCCTCCTGTACCTGGCGTATCTGAAGACGCCCTCGTTCTGGCGATAACACGAGGCAAAGGTCAATCGAATGCGCCTTCAAGGAGACGCAAGGGCACGGGATTGGACGGGCTTATTGACGTCTGGGGCACGTAGGATGTCAGGGGACGAGCATCTCCCTCTCCCTCGCCCTCCCTCCCAGCGTGACATCACCCTCACTTACCACAACTGCTGCCTAGACAACACCGCAGTCACAGCCTCTCAAAACAAGATCCTTCGACTTCCCAGAATCGTAACAACAGCAGGGCTCTGGCTGACCAGCGCCACGGCTCGCCTGTCTACTCCCTGACTCGCAGCTTCATAACACAGGTGCTTCCCCGGGGGACTGCAGCGGAGACTTCGCGGGTTTCGTCGGCCACGGCGACGGGCTTTGCGACATGACCACAGTGCTTCTCAGCGTTTTTTTCTCCTACATATCGATATCGTTTTCCTTGCTCCACCCACACAGAAAAAAGTGTTAGCCAACCCCACCAAGCGAAGAAAACAAAGCAAGAGACGAACAAATCTAAAAATAAATAAGAACAGAAGAAGCGTGCCGAGTTGCGAACACGGAGTGGCTCTCCGGCGGATGACTTGCCATCGCCGCCGCGGTCAGAATCACGCCCTCGCCGTCACTCGCCTTCAATTGCACGTCTTGCAAGAGATCCCGGCGGCATCGCACTTCCTCCGCTTGCGAGATCAACGTCAGATCAGCTCGCCACCAACGGTTATTCTATCCGATTCTATCTGAGAGTATACTTATCATCATCGTATTCCCTAAGCATCACACTTACATAACACTAAATTTCCCAAACACTCTTGGAACACATTTCACCAAACATCTCGCTTCCCAGACATCACATCCGAGTGACATCACACACTTAAAAGGTCGATCCTCCTAGACACGGCCCTCCCCAAACTACACCACACCCCAATCACCACACTCCTTAGCCTACCTCCCTCACCACACAACCCAAACACCACACTCTCTAGCCTACCACCCTCGCCACACACCACACATCCCAATCACCACCCTTCACACCACACTCCCTAGACTACCACCATCGCCATCACACCACCCTCACACCACACCCCCTAGACTACCATCCTCACCCTCACACCACCCTCACCACTCCTCATACTCCGCCACCTCATCGCCATTCACTCCCTCCCTCTCTCATGCCAATATTCAGTCGCATGTCACGATCCCGACCCCTGCCACAACGCCACACGTGAAACCCGAGTTACAAAACCTAAAATGACGAACGTTTGCATAATCTTTCAATAAAAAAAAAAAACGTTTTGGGGACAGTGAGACGACGGTTTAATAGATAATAAAAAGGCCAGAGAAGAAGGCATTAAAATGACGAAGATGGATTTACTGGTCGAAAAGGTAAACATTACATGATTGATTTACGCAATAAATAAAGATAAAAAAATGTCGATTCTTTTGTCATCATCATCTTTATCATGAACATATCTTACGTTATTATCACCATCATTACTACTAATTTTGGTTATCATTAATACTAGTTCCAGCAGTACAAATAGCACACGCAAACATACATACACAAACAATCAAACATACAAACTCACATAACGCATCTACAGAACAACATAACACATCTACACAACACACATAACGCATCTAGAGAACAACATAACGCACCACCACAACACACATAACGCATCTACATATAATGGCGCTCGGAGGTGCAAAAGCGCCGACGTCGCGAGATGCGGCGAAAAAGAAGCGAAGCGGGATTAAGGTCGCTCTCCAGCCGTGCTTAGTCACGTGACACAGCCCTAATCAAGTCGCCGCGCTGTGTCTGGCTCGAGCAGAAAGTGTCGGAGGGTGAGGGAGGCTGCGTCTGCTGGGGGGTGGGCGCGGGTGGGGGGGGAGTTGTGGGAGCGTTGTCGGAGTGTACTGAGTGAGTGCAGTGACGTGAGTGAGTGAGTGGCGTGAGTGTGTGTGTCGCTGCCTGTGTGTGCTGTGTGTGTGCTGTGTCGTGTGTGTGTGTGTGTGTGTGGTGTTGGTGTGGTGTGTGTGTGTGTGTACGAGGAGTGCATGTGTGACTTGTGACGTGCAGTGAGTGTGAGTAGAGTGAGTGAGTGAGTGAGTGAGTGAAGTGAGTGAGTGAGTGAGATGTGTGTGCCCAAAAAGACTACGGCAACCCAAGTACCCAAGCACCTAGACACGCCGCACGCCCAGCGACTTAAAAAAAAAAAACGCCCCACTTGACTCCGTCCTACAGAACTATCCGGCCCTTTCTATCCCTCTTCCCTCCCCTCAACCTAGTGGGTATTTCTGGCAACCGCACTACATTAAATCACCTACGGACGCGTCTGCCCCGTACGAGCGAGCGTCGTCTCATGTCAAACATCAAAAAACATCTCCATTTAAGCACTCCCGATTATCAACATCTTGGCCTTATAACCTCATTTCCCCCACCCACGCCTCCCGAAATCGCCCCCATCCCCTTACTGTTCCCCCCCTATCCCCCTCACCTACCTTACCATCATCCTTCTCCTTCTCCTTCTTTCCCCTCCTTCCTCTCCTCCTTCTTCTCTTCTCCCTCCTTCCTCCTTCCCCTCCTCCTCTTTCTCCTTCTCTCTTTCTTCTTTCTTCTTCTTCTTCTTCTTCTTCTTCTTCTTCTTCTTCTTCTTCTTCTTCTTCTTTCTTCTTCTTCTTCTTCCTTCTTCTTCTTTCTTCTTTTCTCTCCTCTCCTCTCCTCCTCCTCCTCCTTCTCCCCCTCCCCCCAACACGCAACATTTAACGTCGAAAAAGGGACTCTCCTCCAAATGCCACATCTCCATACGCCCTGCTCGCACCCCAGACACAAACTTGCATTTACAACCGCGGTCTCACTCCCTTTCCCTCTTCCCCCCTCACTCTTCTGCCTCCCATACCCCTTCGCCTCCTCCCTCCACCCTCATTCTCCCTCCCCTCTCCGCCACCCTCATTCTCGTCTCCCCTCTCCACCACCTCGATTCTCCTCCCCTCTCCACACACATCTCATTTCTCCTAGCCAA